GGGGGGGGGGGGGGGGGGGGGGGTATGTCTACGATTATTTATCTCACAACGCTATGACAAAATTCCAATCCATTGTCTGATAAGTACGTTCTCAAACAGAGATGCCATTGAAATAAACCCAGTTACGCACACAATAATTATAGTTGAAGGAAGTAGGATGCAATATATTTTTCTGAAAAACAAAAGTGAAACAATATAAACCAAATTTGAGATGGACTACATTTATATTTAAAAGCATGGAGCACTATCATGTGAAAAAGTATAATAAGCTCCAAAGACCAATTACACAATTTCGTTCATAAACTTCTATCTATATCACTCTGGTCCTCGACTTCTACTTATATCACTTGGTACTCTTAACACACTACCATTCCAAATTTTAACTACAAACAATACATTGATATAGATAAGTTTATGCCGACAATGAAGATTCTTTACGTCATATATCGGGATGGAAGATGGAATCGGGGTGGTTGGCTGCGGAGCATGATGGCTGTGCCAAATAAACTTGAAATAAATAGTTAGATCAATGCCTAAAGAAAATAAATTTGACTTGTAGTTTAGATATTGAATACTAAGTTTAGCCAAAACAACAGATCATTGAACAAATATTCACCGTATTTAAATCTTTAAACCACCAATTATTCTGCCACATTCATCTTTCAGCAAAGGGACATGCTTTTAAGCAGTTGACTTGGTACTATCGGACGGAGAGTGAGACTGGTAAGTAGGAAAAGATAAAATGGAAGTCAACAAGCCTAAGTTCCATCCTCATTAAAGCCCCCTCGTCCATCCTGTGTTGAGGAATTCTTAAACCTTACTTTGCCTTCCACATGAAATTTATGCACGAGAAGTTAGTCAAGACAGAGAGTGGTGGTTTTCCTAGTTGAAATGGATAACCGAGAGAGGACTGTTTAAAGGAGAACAAAGGGACTGTCTCGCTCTAGTGATTTAAAGCTAAATTTCACAACCGTTCTCACGTGTTCCGCATTTCTAGTAATCGAATTGCAAAAGAGAACGTTCATACGAGACTTGTAATACAATCACCAGATAGAATCACATGAAAAAAATTAATATGTTTCCATGGAATCCACAGTCTGGCAAAACCACGAACACCAATCAGTAGCCAATAAAAAAACCTAACTGCCTCCGAACACTAACAGGGAAACCCAAAATCACAATATAAGAAGTCTATAAGAGTTACCCAGAGCTCCACTCTGTTCATATACAACAACTGAACATCATAGTTCAATAGGAGTATTCAGTGAAACCAACACGAGGTACAGAACATAAGCCCTAACCTGACAATAGATATCTCTGATAGACGAATCTTTATGCTCGATCGAATAACTCAGAATCCCATGGAAATTAAACCCCCGGCTTCTAACGAATATAAAATATATAAGAAACGACAAAAGGAAATCAGAGGCGAAGTGGAATTACTCGGGAGTAATCACTAAAAACAGAAAAATTAAGATGTAATCCAAACAAATTGGCGCAAATAGAGGAAGGAATTTGAAAACCTAACCTGAACAGTTTTAGAATCACTGAGGAAAGAGAAGCAGAGCCAGAGAGAAGAGAGAGAAAGAGAGCGTTTTCTTCTCTCTGCCCGTGTAGGCTTAGAACTCTGTAGTTAATAATATGGATTATATCGAGCACAGAACCCTTTTACACTGCCGAGCATATCCACGTGCCTTCTTTCTATTGGTTGTTTAAAATCAACCCATCCACTTTCCACATTATGATATTGTTGTCTTTGCTTTGGGCTTTCCAAGGTTTGAGTTGTGCTCTCCAAAAGCCTATAGAAAGTATTCCTCTGCGTGTATTACGATATCAAAGGAAACGAGAGAAAGGGTTTGAGTTAGGAAGAACAAAAATGAAAGATTGAATGAAAAGTGAAGCAAATTAAATGATATAGTTTTAGGAAGCGTAGGGGATAGAAGGAATGGAAGCATAAGTTAAGGATAAACCAGTATGTAAGATAAACAGGAATATGGATTCAGAAGCCGAAACCGATACCAAAAACCCAACTTTCTTGGACCACTTTCCCAAACCATCTCTTCCTTTCGCCATAATGATTCCCCCACGCGCGCAATCCACTTCCTTTAATCCCTATATATATTGCGTCGCTTCCGGCGCCAAATTTCTCGCTCATTCTACCATTCACTCACCTCTCTCACTCGTCCGCCTAATACCCCTTCGACATTCGTCCCTGTTCTTAGCTTTCTTTCGTCATTTTCTTTCAATTTGGAAGCGATAAAGACCCTCCAATCTTTTCGGGGGGGTTTATTACTGTTCTTATCGACGCCTTTGAATTGGGGGTACGACCCAAGAAGGCATCCATGGCTTCTCAGGTGTTGGTAGCTCTTGCACTTTCGCTTGTGGGTGGATTCAGTACTTCTCTAGGTCAGTCCCAAGTTTTTTCTTTAATATGCTTTGTGGGTGTTGTCTGTTTCTTGTTTTATTTTCGTTTGTTCTTTGCTCTTGATCATCTTTGGTTATGTTTTGAAGTATTTGGTAGTTGGGTCTTGAGGTCAAATTTAATTTGAAATGTTCATTGAATAATATGCAGAATCTTTCACATTAATGAAAGATTTCAGACTTAGTTATTTACAATTCTTAGTGGCTTAGTATCCCTATTGAGCCTTGACACCTGCTCATCACTTCTGGTCCATGAGCATTTTAAAGCACCAGACTCATTCGTGTTCATAACATTTGGAACAGGTGCGCTTTTGGTGATTCTTAGCGGTGCCCCAAATTTGAAGATGCTTGGTCTCTTACAGGTGATGCTTGGAAGTTTCATTTTTTGGTTGTTTTGGAGTGGGAGTGTAGCCTTGTAGCATAAATTCAATCCTGGAATATTGTTCATGGTGATAAAAGGCTAACATCCATTTTCTCATCTCTTATTTTATGTTTAAGCTCCCTGTGCCTATTCCATGGATTCGTCTAAATGACCTGGTCTTAATTGCAGGGCTTTGCTGCTGGTCTAATGCTGAGCATTTCGTTCCTGGATTTAGCTCATAATGCTATTAATTCAATTGGGTTCTTGAAAGGAAATCTTTGGGTATTTGTCATAAGCCTTGATTGAATGATTTCTACCTGTGCACTTATGAAATGACATGTTGTTGGTACTGCAGTTTTTTGCAGGTGTGATCTTGTTTGCTTTTGTTACTCATTTTGTCCCAGAACCCACACTTGCTCCTGGTTCAGATATCAAAAGAAAGAAGGTAGCAAAGCATTATTAAAAAGATTGATATCAATTTATCTCTAGAATTTGACACTATATTGGATAACAGGACGAGGATGATGGGGGAAAGGATGTTATGAAAAAGCATCGTCGTCAGGTTCTATTCAGTGGCATAATAACAGCAATAGGTACTCATACAACTACCATGTACAAATGGTACAAGTTTATGTTCTCTATCAATTTTTCCAGAAATGCGTCGGTTTATTTAAACTCGATGGTCAAGCTAGTTGAGTGCTTAGGCAAATACATGGAACGATGCTCTTGAACAATTTACTTTCACCACAGAACCACACATCCTGAGAAGTGAACACATCATTGATTTAGTTTACTGAAATGCAGGCATAAGCTTACATAACTTTCCAGAAGGAATGGCTGTTTTTCTTGGATCGATTAAGGTATATCGTAGCGTATCCCTTCTTTAATTTAACTTGGATAATGTAGTATATATTTGTATCACAACTATTATTCTTCATTGATTTGGAGATTTATAAAGGAAGATCCACCGGGAATTCGTTGGCGATCTTATCGTTGTTGGTTTTTGTGAGACATATTGCTTATTCGTTGGCGATCTTATGTAGGGTCTTCGTGTTGGTCTGAACTTAGCCTTAGCCATTGCCTTGCACAATATACCAGAGGTATTTTCTCTAACTTGGGACGTTGTCACTGGTCGGTGGACATTGGTTCTCTTACATTTGCGTGACGATTAATATTAAATTTCTTGGTCGTAACAATGAATGTTCTACCTTGTCTTGTTTGTCCCAAATCTTTCCCTGTTTCAATATTGGACCGTGTACCTCCTTAAACAGATAAGAACTCAAAAGGTGTGGGAAAGTGTTTGTTTTAGATGTCATAATGTTGAAACATGTGAGATCCCATGTCGGTTGGAAAGGGGAACATAAGGTGTGGAAACCTCTCTCTGACAGACGCGTTTTAAAAACCTTGAGGGGAAGCCCGAAAAGAAAAGACCAAAAAGGACAATATTTGCTACCGGTGGGCTTGGCTGTTACATAATACCTCTCATTAGCATGATCCAGTCGATCAGTTTCTTTGGACTTCGATTGATGCTGAAATAAAAATGAACTACTATATGTGAAATGCCACAAGGAAATTATCTATGATTTGCCTTGTATCATTATGCAGGGTGTAGCTGTTGCTCTTCCTGTTTATTTTGCTACACAGAGGTTAGTACTTAATTTCAGCTTATGCTATGAATTGCGGTGAACTCAAGGTTTTCACCATATCTAATTGAAAGGATCGAATATTGTAAATTTATAGTTGGTTTGTTGGTCTCAGCAAATGGCAGGCATTCAAGTTGGCTACTCTCTCTGGCTTTGCTGAGCCCCTTGGTGTTATAATTGTAGGTAAGTCCACCTGCATTAAATAGAAGCTGAATCTACATGTTCTTTCCCTAAACACTTACTTTCCCAAGTGATAGTTATGCATTAATGTAATAGTAAGCAACGTTAATGATATGTGAACATCAATGTTAGAGTGAGATCTCACATCGATTGGAGAGGGGAATGAAACTTTCTTTATAAGGGTGTGGAAAACTCTTCCTAGCATATGCGTTTTAAAAATCTTGAGGGGAAGCCCAAAAGGGAAAGCTTAAAGAGGCCGATATGTTTGTTAGTGGTGGGCTTGAACCTTTCCAACGTTGGATAATGATATCATTTACTGGCTTAAAGTATGAACATTTGACTAAATGTAATGATTATACTGGCAGATTTATGATTATAACTGCACTTTTTTTGTACAGCCTACTTGTTTCCAAGCAGCTTGAGTCCTGAAATTCTTGAAGGTCTACTAGGATCTGGTATGGTAAAACATGATACCTACCTACCTGTATTAGGAGCTCCAGGATTACATTTTGATTTCTTTTGGACTCTGTTTTATTGTATGTATTTCATTATTTCCAGTTGGTGGAGTAATGGCGTTCCTAACTCTGCATGAAATGTTGCCTTTGGCATTTGATTATGCTGGACCGAAGCATGCCGTGAAGGTCGTCTTCTTAGGAATGGCCTGTATGTCCGCAAGGTAAGAAAACATGGTTCGAGGCGCGTGTGGCTCGTTTGTTCATCATTGTTTCATTCTACTTGATGTATATATATATATATATATATGCATCTAATGTAGCAATCTCGCTGGTTTTGCAGCCTTTACTTTGGAAATGAGCCTGCCGAAGGATTTGAGCTTATAGTATAGTTTGTGTTCCCTGTCATTTCATTGTTGTAAATGACAAATATAAACTCTTGAGCTCATCAGAAAGTGAAAAATGAATATGTGTGTTGAGTAAAATGAGCATTGATTCTGGTATGAATGGCCCCATCTCACGATTGTGTGCTTTGTTTTACGTTGTGATGTCCTCTGGGCTTGCGTATCAAAGGAAAGTAAGTGCAAATTGAAAGAAAGATGTGATTTTGATGGGCAGACCATGAAGAAGGATTCCAATCTTGTCAACACTTTAAAATTTTCTTTTTCAAAGGGAATTGTTGGGGAAATTTTACCTTAAACCATTTTGCATGTTGAACAGATTCATGGGTTCCTTAACCTTCATGTGCCTCATTTGAGTGTATCTTGTTTAAAGCTGTAGGAATAAAGAAATTAAAGTAACCCCCTAAGAGAGAGAGAAAGCAAAACCAAGCTTTATTGGGAAGAGGAAAAAGAAACCTTTTAGATTCAACAATGTTTCAACACAGTGGATGGACCGATAAACCCTTCTTCTTCTTCTTCTTTATTCATTCAAATCGACTAAATTCTGCACACAACTCGTTCCTTTTCCACCGTCGAGAGATCTTATCGGTTAACCAATGGGAGACAGACGACCCCATTCTTCTCTAACAAAATCAACCAAGTCTAACGGGTCACGACATGCATCCAAATTTATTGGTATGGTAAGTGGCATTTATAAATGTGTAGAAAAGGGAAAGCAAAAGTTAGAAAAGAACTTTTTGAACTCTCAAAAATCTGCTTTGGGAAAAAGCCCATCTTTTTCATTAATCTAAAAGTTTATTAATAATAATACGCAGTATTTTTACTTTTCTTTTTAATTAAATTAAATTAAATAAAAAAAAAAAAACAAAAGTGGGTATTTTTAATTTTTAATCTAATTCATTTGGAATTATTTTACAATAAATCAAAAAGTTGTACCTTTTCTTTTAGAACAATGTAGTGAAAGGCTTGTGTTGTTGTTTATAGTTGATGGTGTCAAAAAGCAAAAGCTAAGTAAGGAATGAATCAATGTGGGGAACTAAATCCATTAACTTCCATCTAATAAAGCTCAAATTTGGACTCAGTCAATAAACATCAAACTGTGCTATGTTCAAATTGGCTACTACTCTTATTTAACTACCCGACTTTGTTAAAAATAAAAGTAAAAGTAAAAGTAAAAGTAAAAGTAAAAA